TAAATATAGGAATGCCAGAGAAAGAGGAGGTGGTGATGACTGAAATTTCAGAGTTACCTAAATGCAAGCACAGTATGTTCATAACCAAAATAGGTAACAAGGAGAACTAGATTTGAGAGCTAAGCTGATTAGTAAAGAATGCTGGTGGTTATCTCTGCTGTTATCTAGAAAATAAAGATTGATTTCAGCCTTAAAATGAGGAAGTTAAATGAATGATCTGGAAAGCCCTTTCCATTTTTGTAATTGTGCAATTCTCAAAACATTGCCCAGTAAAGTAAGCAGAGGCAAAAGAAATTCAGGAGTTTGACCATCAGGGAGAGCTGTTTTGTGATGCTTGCTCCAGTGGGAACTGGGCACTGTGACTGAGCCCTCCTCCTCCCTGAAACTGAATGTGATAAAACCTCACAGGACTGCTGTGAGTCTTATTGTACATGAAAATGCGTATCTCAGTGCCTGGCACATTCTGGGTGCAGGAAAAAGTTTGATTTCCTCCCTCCCTTCCTTCCTTCCTTTTTCCTCCCTTTGTTACCATAGGAGAGAGTCAGGCTGGTTCCCTCCTAGTGCTGGTGTGAAACCTGCCCTTTAGACTCTTCTGCACTTCCCCAAAGCAGCTACTGTCCCAGAAAACTGCTTTCGGCCAGAAATGCTCAGTTTTACCCTAAGGTACGAGACCTCCTGGCTTTGAGGGAAGCACAGGTAGCAAGGAGACCCCTGGCAGCAAATGTGTAGTTGTTCTTCCAGCTAGGCCCCAATCCCACCCTAAATGCCAATCCAGGAACTGTGTGTGAAGTGCTGAGATAAAGCAACCCCATCTTTTCCACACAAAGAAGCAGCAAACATTTCACTGATTATCTCTGAGGGACGTAGTGAATCATACTGAGAGGTAGTCATATTTGTGCAGTGCTTTATGTCTGAGATACTGAGAGCTTAATCCAAGGCTTCCCTCTTAGTTGAAGTCCCACTGTTAGAGCTCAGAGACTGTGCAGCTCTAGAAGCCAGTCCCTGATGCCTTGATCCCAATCATTGAGTTTATCAGGATTCTCCAAAGGAAGAGACAAGGAGCACCTCTCCTGCAGTGAATGCTGGAGTTTTACTTTTTCCTAGGGGCTAGTGCCTCCTTCTGCAGATCTCAGCTATGGGAAAAATGAAAAAGAAAAGTTGGAGTCCCCTGGCTTATGAAATTTGAATGCCACTTGAATCTGACATGTTTATTTTTTAGCTGTAAACCACACAAAATCAAGAAGTTCTGTAGATCCTATTTCAACATTGTGCAGTGTCTCTATATTTACAAATTTTGTTGTGGTGGGGGGCAATAGAGACATAATTTAATCCAATTAGTTCTTGAGGGGGTAGTATTTAGAGATCTCACTAATTCCTGTTCTGAAGGAGAAGCCTTGAAGTGTGGAATATAAATATTTCATTAACTCTAATACAGAGTTCTACATTTATGCCTTACATGTGTGCAAGTAGGTGCATAGAGGCTAAAGTTCTGGTTGTATTGCTCTCCCTCCACTTACAAAAGATCAGCAAGTTCCTACAAGCTTGCAGACTCTCTGAGGAGATCCTTCGTGGTCATCTCCTCTTCATTCCTCTGCTTGCCCCATTCAACAAAACCAACCACAAAGCAAACTGAGTAGGCAAACGGGCTTTATCCCTGGTGACTTTGCAGATGCACTAATTTTTCAGCAGGCTGTCATTGCATGCCTACTGTGTGCTAGGCACAATACAGGGGCCTGGGGATTAAAGATGATGAGATAATTCCTGTGCTCTTGTTGATAAAAGGCTGCTAGTTTATGGTCAAAGACTCTCATTCACACCCACAAAATTGTTTCTATATCCCAGTGAATCCATTATACCTCTAGTAGCGCCATACACCAAGTCAAGTTTGAGTCTTTAAGGTTCCTAGGATGTCACCTAGACTTAGAGGTAACACTAACAAAAGAAAAAACAAGACAACCACAAAAACCTGACCTTTATAATGTAACACTGCCACCTCTATAATGGAATACTTCGAATAGCCTTAGATTTAAAATTGGTCTTTGCTCCTTTAAGCAGATTCCCTTAGCTCCAGCTATCTCTGCAAATGGATGATTGATCACCAATAGAAACTTAATTATCAATTAATCGGTTACTATCGAATTGCTGGTACATCTCAGTTATCTGCTACTACTCAGAGTATTCTATAGTACTTCAGTGAAGAAATGCTTCTAATTAAACAGGGAAATAGCACTTACTAATATATCAGAGTAAATGCCTAGACCTAAAACATTGTATTAATTACAAGAGTCAGTGGGTTTAGCATCTCTAAGACTGTTGGCTAATTTATTGCCACTGAAAATGAAGAAATAGTTGTTGATATATAAATAGAGCATTTTAGGTGGGTTTTAATCATAAAAGTCAATAGACATAAAAACTCTGCATTGCATGTGATAGACTTGTAACATTAAGGAATAAGGTTACTATGCAGAAGGATAACTAAACTTTTTTACTTGTTCGTTCTTAAACAGTAAAAATGGTTTAAAATATACTTTGATCATTTTGTGATTATTATATAGGACAATAAAAGAGAATTTCTTACTTTCTAATGATTTTCCTGAACTTATAGTTACATACAAAGATGTAATGAAACTTGCTCTCCTTTTCTTCCAAGTTACACATCATTTTTCTTTTTTTTTTTTTTTTTTTTTTTTTTTTTTTTTTTTTTTTTTTTTGAGACAGAGTGTCGCTCTTGTTACCCAGGCTGGAGTGCAATGGCGCGATCTCGGCTCACCGCAACCTCCGCCTCCTGGGTTCAAGCAATTCTCCTGCCTCAGCCTCCTGAGTAGCTGGGACTACAGGCACGCACCACCATGCCCAGCTAATGTTTTGTATTTTTAGTAGAGACGGGGTTTCACCACGTTGACCAGGATGGTCTCGATCTCTCGACCTTGTGATCCACCCGCCTCGGCCTCCCAAAGTGCTGGGATTACAGGCTTGAGCCACCGCGCCCAGCCCATCATTTTTCTTAATACCTTCTCCTGTCCGCATTGTCTACCCAAGATTTACCAATTCCCAGCTATCCCCTCAGGACAGTCAAGAGCCAAACACTCCTGTTTGTCCCTTATAAACTCTTTTAACTTCTCCAATTTCTGGGTGGGAAAAAAAGGCTTTAATAATACAGTTTTATATCTCCATACTCATCCCCCATCTATCAATAATTGATTCACTTGCTCATTCATTCAATTCATATGTACTAAACATCTACTACGCATGATAGGTAATCAACTACTAGCAATATCATGTTGGATGCGTAGGGTCCCCGATTGCAGAGAGCTGCTTAGAAGTTTCACATTATCTTATAAATCACACAAGCAAATGTTAAGTTGCAGCTTGTAACTATGCTACAGCTATGCTATGGTGCACAGGTAAAAGGTATCATGAGAATCTAGACTAGAAAGAAGCATTTGACCTAGATAGTGGGGTCAAGGCAGGCTTGCTGAGGAAATGGTGACAAGCTAAGATCTGAAGGAGACGTAGGAGTTAACAAGATGAATGGAGGTGGAAGAAGCATTTCAAGCAGGGAAATAGCATATGCAGAGTCCCTAAATGGAAGAACAAGTGACATATTTGGAGAGGTGAAAGAAGGCCTGCTCGCTGAAGCACCAAGAACACAGATCTGGAGAATTTGGGCAGGGGCCAGATGATGGGAAGGGAGCCACACAGGCCATGTGAAAAATGTTGTTCTTTATCCTAAGAGCAATGGGGAAGCATTAAGTGTTTCAAATAGAGAGGGGATGTGGTCAGATTTGTGTTTGAAAAACAAATCCTGCTGTAATGTGAGGAACAGATCACCTGTCAAGGGTAACAATGGATGTGGTGGGTCTAGTTAGGAAGCCACTGTAGTCGTCCAGGAAGGAGTCGGGTGGCTAGTATAAAAATTGGGAGGAGGGGCACGATGGAGAAGACTGGATGCGTCTAGGAGGTATTTAGAAATGATATTGTGGGAATTGGTGATGGACTGTATATGGGGACTGAGGGAGAGGGAGGAATAGGGGATGATAGTTACACTTCTGACTTGTGAATCTGGAGGAATGGTAGAGCCATTCACTGAGGTATGTAGTATCCTAAGATCAGGCAGGGGGAAGATTGCAGTTTCTGCTATGGGCGTGTTGTTGAATCTGAGGTCTCTCAGATATGAGAATGGAGATACTTAAGTGATGTTATCTACAAGTCCTGGGCTCTTTGTTTCTTTGTTTTGTTTTTATGGCATAGGAGGTCTTCTAGAAAACCTACTAGACAAATTCTAAAATAAATAGAACACTCAATCTGGGTTCTTTTGTGAGAGCTTTATATAAACTAGCTCATTTAATGGTTACACAAGCTCTATAATGTAAGTACCATTGTTTTTAGTTCTATTTTATAGAGGGAGGAGAATAAAACACAGACATTACATGATTTTTTGAATACAGAAAGATTATTACATAAAGCAAGTAAACACTAGGGACCAGGATTTGGTGCAAGCACATGGCTCAGTGCTCTGCAGCCTCCCAGTGAGTTATCCGTTAACCGCCACTCCCCACCATCTCTCTGCACAAGAATGCACAAAAGCACACATATAAAAATACAATGTCGGAGCATGACTCTAACATTTATTATTATCCAGTTGAAATTCATCTTATTAGACTTGCCTGCTAGAAGCATTACCTTTGTGTCAAGGGCTGAGACTTTTAAAAGTTTTGTTTTTCTTATAATAGCAGCAGCTAAGTTCCATCTTTAGGCATGCACGTGTTGAACCATGGTGTGAATTGCGATAGTAACGTTTTGGAGTCTATAGACAATGCCTACTGAAATTGGAGCCATTCGGTCACTAGAAATATTTATGCCTATCTGTGGCTATTTGTCTATTTGCATGATTATCCTTGCCATTCTCCTCCAGGCTCTGAAAAGACACACTGAAAAGTTTTTTACCAGCTTGTTCACTTCTGGACTCACATTAACTCTATGACCATATTTTATTGCAGACATTTCAGAGAAATTTTTTAGGCTGTGAAACACGCCGCGATGAATATCGAACAGAGTTTACCACAGCTTTGCAGCGCATTGACTTATTCGCGGGTCAATTCAACAAAGTCCTCTTAACTTCTATATCCACCTTCGTTAAAGGAGACCTCACCATTGCTAATCTTGGGACATCAGAGGGCCGCTTCATCCAGGTAAGGGCTTGCCGAGAGTAGCTGTGTCTGTTCTATCTGGTATTGTGCAATTAATTTGTTTTTGTTTTTGCAGGAAGGTATTTGCAAATACTGTAAGGTGCAAATCATAGTACAAAGTGGAGGCATGGACTGAAAGCCAAACAATGAAGCCTGATCCACTTTCTGTGAAATGTATGGCCTTTTTTTGTTAAGTTCTTGAAGCTTTCAGTTTGAATGTCGTCACTTTAATTTTCTTGTCGGGAATGGTTTGGGTTTTTTTTTCCCCCGTTCATAATTTCTGTCACATGATTGGAAAATAAAATGAAACAAGTAAGGCAGTTCCAGGCCAATTTTTTTCTATTTCAAGGGAAGCTACAGATCAAAGGAGAGCTATTGTGTGAACCGTGCGTCTCCATGAGAAGAAACATTCACATCATTGAGAAATATTGGCAGGAGTTAGGAAGGGACATGATCGTGAAAATCCCATTGTAACTCAAGCTCTCCTGATTCTGCAAAATGGTAGGGTTGGAGGCAAATAAGTTCAAATACTAAAAAAATAAGAAGAAGAAGAAATGGTTTTAATGGATAGCAATGGTATTTCCCTACAACAAAGTTTTCATTTCAACTTACTGTGTTTCCTAGATACAACCACCATAGCACTCTGCAGAAATGAAAATATTCCCTTGTTGAGTTAGTATTATTATTTTGTAGTTATGGGTGCTTTCAATGTTAGTGGATTCTTGATGAGGGAAGAATGACAATAGCATCTATGGAAATACTGAATTTCTATGAATACTAGAAATTTGTTTTAAAGGGAGATGCTTATTTCATAATCGACTGATATAGTTAATACCCTCATCAGACAAAGACCTCTAGTGAAACAACTGAGAATGATAAGCTTTTCCTATAACTTGCCCATCTATACATCCTATATGTGTACTCTTCTAGAAAACATTTTTTTAATTAGCAGTCTGGATACTGATCATTGCCATAATTTAAAACCTGTAAGTTATGTTTTTCTTGTACTAATGGGCTTGCTGGAATTTTTTCAGAGTCAAAAATCACATAAATAAAATCTTCCTAGCTCGAAACCAATAACACAGGTCCTATGATCTCATTGTTCCAATTGTAGTCTACCTTCTATTGCTTCACAGTGATTTAATTCTATCCTTAACTTCTCAAACCTGAAGGAGGGATGCCCTGCCCCTCCCACAGAGACGTGCACTCTAATGTATTTGAAATATGGTCATATCTATTATGTGTAAAATGTGTAGTATTGTTCTGTGTTTATACATGTTTTTAATTTACATTGACAGTATTCTATAGAATTGCCAAAAATACAAAGGAGGACTAGAGAAGTTGGCATCTATTGATTTCCTAATGTTTTCATTATGTTGATTTGCCCCCTTTTATCTTTACTTTTGCTTTCTTTTTTTTTTTTTTCCATAATTGTTCATTACCTCGCCAGTCCAGTTTTGTATGAATAAGCTTTTTACGATCACTTTAGCTCCGATGCTTTTTTAACATCAAAAGTTCCCTGGCCTATTTCCACATTCTGAAGTTGTAATAAAATTCCATATTTAAATAGGTTGCTTTATGAACAGAATAAATTCTGCTGTGTGTCAGAGTCCACCGCCCAAGGGATATGCCATGCATCAGTCTCATTATAGAAAGGCTGTGCAAATGTTTTATTCTTGTCTCCCAGCCTTTATGTAAAAGACACTACATTTTTCCAATTAACTGTGCATCCAAAACAAAGGTAAAAATAAATGCTTATTTTGTGAAAAGTATGCTATCACTGATTTTTTTAAAGTGGCTTTTAATTTATCAAATAAGTATCAAGAACTAGCTAAGTTTGCTTTGCTAGGCAAATAAATGAAGCAAAGGAAACAGTGACACAGAACCTACCTTTGAGAAATTAAAATTTTAGTAGGAAAGATTAAAATATTTACCTGATAATAATAGTACATACAGACAAAGGGCTATTCGAAACTACAGAGGATCTATTTCTCTGATGCTTGCATAAGAAAATTTCATTCCACTAAATTTTATTTAAAAACCTAAAGTATTTGAAGGAGCAAACAGCATGACCGAAATCCAGATTATTTATAGTAAATAACAGTAGGGGAGCACAGATATGATGACCTCCCACTTTAATCTGTCAGATCAGTGACTTCCTACAAAGTTCTGTAAAGGTTTTGACTGTGCCACAGTGCTAAATCTGGGGCTAGACCTAAGTTTCTACAACTTGTGTTTTAGTAAATACGATGAAGTTTCTGTTACAAAATAGAACGGACATGTTTTTCCCCAAAGACAGCTGCTTTACACAAAAAGTAACAGAAAAATGATTTTACTTCCTTCCTACCCTGAAGCTTAATGGCAAAGTTGCTTTGCAGATTTTTTTCTCCCAAGAGTTTGCAGCTGTTTCTGTCTTTCCTATTGTGCTTATGTTCAGCTCTGGCTGGGAACGCAAGCTACAGCCTCAGCTGTTGGGTGCAAAGTGAATCAGGTATTTCACAGTGGTTATTTGATTAGAAAGAATTATGTTGTTTGGCTAACAATATTTTGTGTATGGCAGAGAAGACATTTTTGACATGTTCCTGACATTTAATGATGTGTAACTTATCTCGTACAGGTGCAGCTATGTCTGAAAATACTGATGTGTACATATATTTAAGTCTCAATCTCCAAACAGCCATGTCAATGTAGATATTGATTAAAAACAATTTTTATTTGCATGATCACTCTCTTAGTTTGCTTTGAAGTGAAACAGTAGGGTAAGCAATGTTTGAGATAGTGTAAGTGAACAATGAGAATGTGTCTTCCTACAAACGGGGGAAGGAGATGTAGAACAGAGCCAGATTGGGAACATTAACACAGTGTGCACAGCTACGTGGGAGAGGATTCTCATGAAGATCACAGGACTAATCACAGGGATTGTCCACGTCTCCCTTTTGAGTGCCTTGTCTAATCTACATCCAAAACAATGCTTCCTTGATTTTTTTTTTAACAGCATTTGTATAAGTCCTTTAATCTCTCAATGCAAAGCATTGCTATTAAAATATTTGTGCATGACTGTCAGGCCAGGGAGAGTGAGTGGATCAGGGATGTGGGAGGGGGTGGGGAGGCCCTTTCAAGATTTGTTTCAAGTTCAGCTCCACAAATATTCACTGGGCAACTACTGTGTGCACTACCCTGTGTCTGCTCCCACTGACCACTGCCTGGGCACTGTCACCACTGCTACTGGGCTCCGCAGTCCATCCTTGCTCTTCCCACATGCTCCTTTCCCCTCTCCCAGTTCCTTAGTGCTGTTACCGTCCGCTTGTCACTCCTGTTCTCTTCTACCTCTTAATTGGACTAGTTGGAGCTTAAGTAAGAAACCCAAGGAGGTAGAGATCACCTAAAAAGATGTCCCATGTTCAAGATCATTACTTATGACCACTATTTAAATAATTGTGTTAGTAATCAATTAACTTAAGAATAATTACAGCCAGGTGTGGTAGCTTTGGGAGGCCAGGGTGGGTCGATCATTTGAGGTCAGGAGTTCAAAACCAGCCTGGCCAACATGGTGAAACCCCCTCTCTACTAAAAATACAAAAATTAGCTGGGTGTGGTGGTGGGCGCCTGTAACCCAGCTACTGGGGAGGCTGACGCAGAAGAATTGCTTGAGCTCGGAAGGTAGTAAGCAGAAATGGCACCACTGCACTCTATCCTGGGAGACACAGTGAGACTCTGTCTCCAAAAAAAAAAAAAAAAAAAGGAATAATTATTCACTTCCAGTAGGAAGAATCAATTTATTTATTGACCTTCTGTCTTCAAATTCTTTCAGTTCACATGCCCCCACTGTGGCATGTCAGTGCTTTCTGTGTGAAGCCCGTGGTATGCATCATGTTTGGAATTACTGCCATTTTAGAGTATGTAGACACAGATCCTCAATTCATCAATATATTAAATATCTGACAGAGACACAACTGAAGGAAGCTTAAACTTGAACAACGATTCTCTTTAGGGATTTCCAACTTAACCATCTCTTTTATAAAATGATCAGATAAAAATACTATCTGCCTTTTTAATGTGTACATCATTAACTTAGTTTTAACCCTAAAGAATGTTAGCTTTGCCTTTTTTGGGGTGGGGGGGAACAGATTACTACCTCTGCCTTCAGGGTTCAAGTGATTCTTGTGCCTCAGCCTCCCAAGTAACTGGGATTACGGTCACACACCATTATGCCCAGCTAACGTTTGTACTTTTAATAGAGATGGGTGTTTGCCATGTTGGCCAGGCTGGTCTTGAAATCCTGGCCTCAAGCAATCTGCCCACCTCATCCTCCCAAAATTCGGGGATTACAGGTATGAGTCACCATGCCCAGAAGCTTTGGTATATTTCTTTAGAGGAAAACACACTCAAGAGTTCTGAAATTTATTTTGTGTAAGAAATAATCTAAGTATTTGAAATCATAGGACAATACTAAGCTTAGCTTTTGTTTTGGCTTTTGGTAGCAAGGAATAATTGAGATTTCTTGCATGGGTGCTTTTGGAAAGAGCAGACAGACATTTTAAGTCATGAAATATATATGTATCAGTAGTTTCTTGAACTTCTATTACTGTTTAATTTCAGAAACAGGTATATTCTGTGTATAAATCGGTTAATTGTACAATCAACATATTTGAAATACTGATTTGAAAGAATTTGTTATTATAAAATTTTAATAAATTTTCTGGCTTATTTGGGTTTTAGATGCTCAAAATTTTTTTTTACAAATGTCTCAATCATCTGGTATTGACTCATTTCGACTCACTTTTGACTCATCTCAGAAAGCTGAAGCACACACATCACTATTGTAACAGAGAGGAAAATTGTTTTGCCTTTTGGATGTACCTGGCCTTTAAAATGTCAAGTTGGTATAGAAGCATTTACCAAAAAGAACAAAGGAAAGAGCAGAGTAAACTTCATTTAATTCACCATTTGCTGTCTGGCACTTTGCCTTACCACTTTTGGAGCTATTAGTACCAATCAGCAAT